AATCTCTATTAAGGGAATCAAGAAAAACGATATTTATATCACTATTGGGGAAGTAATTAGAGGATTAAACTCCTCTATTTCTTCCGCCAAAATCGATCACACACATACGTGGCATAGTAGGCTTGCACATGTAGGCATTAAGGGATTTAAGCTACTTAATAAAAAAGGTGCATTTGGTAATGACGATGTGTCTGACCTATCGTTCTGTGATCACTGTGTGCTCGAAAAGCACCATAGAGTGTCGTTCTCCACTAGTACGCATAAAGCTAAAAGCATGCTTGAATATGTGCATTCTGATCTGTGGGGTCCTGCTAGTAATCCCACATCGGGTGGGAATAGGTATTTCCTATATATCATAGATGACTACACGAGGAAAGTGTGGGTCTATCTATTGAAAGAGAAAACTGAAACCTTCCATAACTTTAACAATTGGAAGAAACAAATGGAAAACCAAACTAGCAAGAGGATTAAATTTTTAAGGACAGATAACGGTCTAGAATTCTATAATGCTGAATTCGATAGGATGTGTAAAGAAAGTGGAATAACAAGGCACAAAACGGTTCCCTATACTCCCCAGCAAAACGGGGTAGCAGAAAGAATGAATATGACCATACTAGATAAAGTGCGCTGCATGATGTTAAGTTCTGGGGTTCCTAATTCATTTTGGGGTGAAGCCGTTGTAACTGCTTGTTATCTGATAAATTTGACTCCATCGGCTGCATTAAATGGTGATACTCCACATGAGAAATGGTCTGGAAAATTGGGTGACTACTCAATGCTTAAAGCGTTTGGCTGTGCTGCTTTCTCTCATCAAAATGAGGGAAAATTAGAACTTAGAGCCAGGAAGTGTCTTTCTAGGATATCCCGAAGGGGTTAAGGGCTATAGGTTATGGGATATAAGCCAAAAAGGAGTTAAGATCATCGTGAGTAGGGATGTCACATTTAATGAGAGTGAGATGCCTTGTCTAAGGAACGAAACCGAACCTGTAAGTGAAACTGAATCAGGTGAAGAAAGAAATCGGTTTAAGGTGGAGTTAGAAAAATTTAACACATCAGTACTTAGTACTTCGAGTGAGGTGGAGATTCAGGTCCAAGAACCTGAAGAGGAAAATGAAGTAGTGATAGAAGAGCATCTTGAGGAAGAAAATCCATTAGCTAACTATAATTTAGTTAGGGATAGAGAGAGAAGACAAACGAGAAAACCTAGAAGGTTTGGGTTTGAATCAGAATTGGATTTTGCATACGCTAGTTACGAAGAACTAGTTGATAGGGAGCCGGAAACTTTTGAAGAGGCTATGAATAGTGGTCAATCTAAGGAGTGGCTTAAGGCTATGAAAGAAGAGATGAGTTCTTTAGAAAAGAATCAAACTTGGGAGTTACTACCGAGACCTAAGAATAAATCAATCGTTGATTGCAAGTGGGTCTTTAAGGTTAAGGAAGGTACTAGTAGTACAGAACCCTTAAGATTTAAGGCTAGGTTAGTAGTGAAGGGTTACACACAGAAAGAAGGTGTTGATTATAACAAGATTTTCTCACCAGTTGTCAAGTACACTACTATTAGGGTCATGCTCGTATTGGTTGCGCTCTTTGACTGGAAACTTGAACAACTCGATGTAAAAATCGCTTTTTTACATGGTGAGCTTGATGAACAAATCTTTATGAATCAACCAAAAGGTTTTAAAGACAAGTTAAAATCTGATTATGTGTGTTTTCTGAAGAGATCCCTATACGGTCTAAAGCAATCACCTAGACAGTGGTAGAAGAGGTTTGATTCCTTTGTACTCACTATAGGATTTCAAAGAAGTAAATTCGATCACTGCCTATACTTTCAACACAACGAGACTGATATTTGTTCTTGTTGCTCTATGTGGACGACATGCTTTTAGTTGGATCATCTCCTAAGTGGATAAACAATATAAAAGCAGACCTTAGTGGAGAATTTGACATGAAAGACCTAGGAAAGGCTAAAAGGATTCTAGGCATGGAAATAGAACGAAATAGGTCAAATTCCATCGAATTCTTGCATCAGTCTCCATACATATCAAAGGTGTTGAAAAGGTTTAATATGAGTGACTGCAAACCTGTCACGTTGCCTCTTGCAAACCATTTTGTTCTATCTAAAGAACAAGCTCCCTGCAATGAACGTGAAGTGGAATACATGCGTAAAATTCCATACTCAAATGTGATTGGTTCCATAATGTATTTGATGGTTTGCACTAGACCGGACTTAGGATTCACTATTAGTACTCTCAGTAGGTACATGTC